CTACGGCGGCGGCTTCCGCGCGGCGGCTCCAACGCAGGCGGCTCCCACGCGCGGCGAATCCTACGCCGGCGACGCGCAAAGCAACCAATGATGAAGTGTACGACGACCAGAAGGCGCTCGACCAAGCGAAGAACGGCGGCTCCCTCAAGCGGTGGCTCCCTCGCGGCGGTTCCAACCTTTGAGCGATGGCGTCCATGGGCCATCATCGCTTCGGTTCCTCCGGGCCTGTAGTGCCTGGGACAGGCCGCTCCTGTCTCACTCGCAGGTGTTCCAGCACGCGGTGGGGTGCAGCAACACTCGACGCAGTACACAGCGAGGTCCATGCTGGTGCTGGACACCAGCGTGGTCGGCTCCCCACTTGTGCCCACGCAGACGTTGCTTGTCGTTCGACACCGACGCGATCATATGTCATCATCATTACCATCATCATCATCATCATCATCAGCATCATCATCATCATCATCATCATCAGCAGCAGCAGCAGCATCATCAGCATCATCATCATCTCCACCACCGTCATCATCATCATCAACATCATCATTATCATCAGCAGCGGCAGAATCAGCATCAGTAGCATCATCAGCGGCAGCAGCATCACCATCACCATCACCATCTCCATCTTATGCATCATCCTGATCCTCCTCACCATCATCATCAATAACAGCATCATCGACATCAGCATCATCATCAGCATCATCAGCAGCATCGTCATAATCATTGTCATCGTCATCCGCATCATCAGTATCATCATCATTAGCAGCAGCACCATCGTCATTATCATTCCCCTCATCATCAACATCAGCAATGTCATCATTATAATCATCATCATCCTAATAATCATAATCATCATAATCAGTATCATCTGCATCCGCAGTACCATCAGCATAAACATTATCACCATCAGTAGAACCATCATCATCATCATCAACAGCATCATCATCAGCATCGTCGTCGGCATCATCGTCCTTACCAGCATAATCAGCATCAGCAGCAGAATCATCAGCATCAGCATCATGATCATCATCCTCATCAGAATCACTATCTTAATCATCATCATCAGCAGCATCGTCCTCATCGCCAGCAGCAGCAGCATCATCATCATCGTCGACATCTCCGTCGTCATCACTATCATCATCGTCAGCAGCATCATCATTGTCGTCCGCATCATCACAATCAGCATCATCATCATAATCGTCACCATCAGCATAATCGTCATCATCAGCAGCAGCATCATCGTCGTATTCGTCGTCGTCGTCGGCGGCGGCGTCGTCGTCATCGCCGTCACCGTCGTCATCACCATAGGTATACTCAGCACCAGCATCATCAGTATCATCAGCATCATCCTCATCATCATCATCATCATCATCAGCAGCAGCAGCAGCATCAGCAGCAGCAGAATTATCAGAATTATTATCATCATCAGCATCATCAGCATCATCGTCATACTCGTCGTCGTCGACGTCGTTAACATCATCCTTGCTACTATCACCAGCATCATCAGCATCATCATCGTCAACATCATCATCATCAACATCCAGCAGCAACATAATCCTCATCATCAGGATCCTCATCATCAGCAGCAGCAAAATCATCATCACCACAACCACCACCACCACCATCATCATCATCCTCATCATCATCAGCATCATCACCATCCTCATCCTCATCCTCATCCTCGTCCTGCTCCTCCTCATCATCATCACCAACTCTCTCCATACCGCGCCCAACCCCTCCCCCCGCAGCACGCCGCAGGCCAGGGCCAGCATCTTCTCCAGGGGGTCTGGCAGCACCAGCACCTGCAGCACCTCCCACAGGAGGAGGAGGAGGAGGTACAAAGTAAAGCCACTTACGGGATGTGTCAGTGCAGCAGCTGAAGCGGCGACGGCAGCAGAAGCTCCAATAACTATTCGTGCGCAGAGTCATGGACCCAGAGCCTGGGACCAGCTTCGGTTTACCTGAACCCCGAGACCTGCCTGGGCGCCCTGGTGGGCCCTGGCAGAGCAGGACCGAAAAGGTGGTGCGTCGCGGAGGGCAACTCGCTTCGAGGCACTGGGAGTGGGATATAGGGGCCAGCGAGCTAGCAAAGTCGCGAGCTCGAGGAGGGGGTGATCTGTTTTGACACAAATCCCAGGGTAAAAAGAATGAATGCGGCACCACGGCCCGACCTCCATCGTGAAGTCGGCTCACTTCGGATGAAGGACTTCACCAGTCTGGGAGGAGTTACAAGTTTGATTCCTCGTGGGCAGGAGGGGGGGAAGGCCACTCTGACCAAGGCCCGACCTCCATCGTGAGGTCGGCTCACTTCGGACGAAGGCCTTCACAAGCCCGAGAGAAGATGCAGGTTTGACTGCTCGTGGGCAGGCCATCGATCCTCGCGGCGAGGCCGTCCCTGTTGAGGAGGAGGAGGAGGAGGAGGAGGAGGAGGAGGAGGAGAAGGGTCGACGATCGAGGATCGAGAATGGAGGGTGGAGCATCGAGGATCGAGGATCGAGGGTAAAGTAGGAGGAGGAAGAGGAGAAGGAGAAGGAGGAGGAGGAAGAGGGGGAAGGCCAGTCTGGCGCCCTGCGCGCACCACCCGTTTGGGGAACCCTCGGGGCCGCGGGGCCGGTCCTACAGCCCGCACAGCCGAGGGCCATGCCAGCGCCGCGATGGCCTACTACGAGTTGGTACCGTCCTGCGGGACGATACCAGCACCGGTTTCAAGGCCGAGAACAAGTACACCTCTGATTAGAGTTCAGAAGGTTCAAACCTAAGAACATGGACTTCACTCCAGGCGTGTTCTCAAAACAGTAAGCCAGGTCCAGCTACGGAAAATGCTACGAACAAACCAGGATCCAAGAAAACGCCCAGGGCCCAGTCCAGATTATTGATTTCTTTAGCGACATCTGGAGTCCATAGAAGTTGCTGCTTTAGGTCCGATGACGGATGGCTGCACAAGAGCACATTCAGCATGCAGGCGTGCTGGACACCCATCCCGACATGGGAAGGAGCCGCACACCGAGGAGGTCGTCGCCATGGCTGCCGCCGCTGTCGCACAGGGGCGGCCAGCGAAGGCCCACCGTGGAGCAGGACCTGCGTGGCCAGCCTTACGACCGGAGCGGGCGGGAGGCGACGAAGAAGCGGCCGAACCCGAATGCCGAGGCCTACGTCGCCTACAGCTCGAACGACTACCATCTCGAGCATCACAGCTGCGGCTGGACCCTACTACGGCCTCCACTACCAATCCTACTGCAAATCCGACTAGATATTCCATTGCAACTCCGACTACCGCCTCTACCACAGATCGAACTACAGAGCTAACCAGAGATTGCACTACAGATCCTGCAACAAATTCGACAACTGATCCTGTCTACTGGTGCTATGAAAGATCCGGCCTGGGATCCGACCACAAATCATCTCCAGACGACGAAACGCCACCCCAGAGCAACTTCTCGCGCATCCGCCAGCAGTGTGAAACCAGTCGCGCTGCCACTAAAACCGTGCTGACTCGACCACAGATCCGACTACAGATCCCACTACAGATCTCACTGCAGACCCTGCCACAATACAGCTCCACGTGGCCTTTCGTACACCGCGGAGCGCCAACTCCCCCACTGGCATCAGGGTGCCTGTCGAGGGGCCGCCGTACTCCAAATCCCTTCTTAATTGTCCCCTGGGTTTGGCTTTTAAGGCGCCTTTTTTGTAACTGGGGGGGTCCGATTTATCATGGCCCTTTCTTTGGATTGGCGCTCAGGGGGTCCGGTTTGCCAAGGCGCCCCGTCGAAGAGGGGGGTCTGGAACATGAGGTCGCATTTGGAGGGGGGAGGGGGGTCCGGTTTTTTCCCCACATCCTGAGTGGGGTTCTTGTTTTCCCAGAACACCCTCTCCTTCCCACCCACCTCCCGCTCCATCTTCCATACAGCACAATATTATTCCTACCACACACACCATACCATACCATAGTTCCTACCGCACATACCACACCATACCATACCATACCATACCACACCATACGTACCATACCGTACCATACCATACCATGGCGTACCATAGCATACCATACCATATCACACCAATGCCACACCGTACCATACCATACCATACCACCAGTACCATACCATACCATATCATACCATACCGTACCATACCATACCTACCATACCATTCCATACCACTCCATACCGAAAACCATACTACTTACATGGTTTCGTGCCCCTCCCACCCCTCCAGGGAGGCCCCGCCTGAGCGAGGAGGGTATCGGAAACCATACTATTTACATGGTTTCGTGCCCCTCCCACCCCTCCAGGGAGGCCCCGCCTGAGCGAGGAGGGTATCGGAAAACCATACTATTTACATGGTTTCGTGCCCCTCCCACCCCTCCAGGGAGGCCCCGCCTGAGCGAGGAGGGCATCGGAAAACCATACTATTTACATGGTTTCGTGCCCCTCCCACCCCTCCAGGGAGGCCCCGCCTGAGCGAGGAGGGTATCCGAAAACCATACTATTTACATGGTTTCGTGCCCCTCCCACCCCTCCAGGGAGGCCCCGCCTGAGCGAGGAGGGTATCGGAAACCATACTATTTACATGGTTTCGTGCCCCTCCCACACCTCCAGGGAGGCCCCGCCTGAGCGAGGAGGGTATCCGAAAACCATACTATTTACATGGTTTCGTGCCCCTCCCACCCCTCCAGGGAGGCCCCGCCTGAGCGAGGAGGGTATCGGAAAACCATACTATTTACATGGTTTCGTGCCCCTCCCACCCCTCCAGGGAGGCCCCGCCTGAGCGAGGAGGGTATCCGAAAACCATACTATTTACATGGTTTCGTGCCCCTCCCACCCCTCCAGGGAGGCCCCGCCTGAGCGAGGAGGGTATCGAAAACCATACTATTTACATGGTTTCGTGCCCCTCCCACATCTCCAGGGGGGCCCCGCCTGAGCGAGGAGGGTATCCGAAAACCATACTATTTACATGGTTTCGTGCCCCTCCCACCCTTCCAGGGAGGCCCGCCTGAGCGAGGAGGGTATCGGAAAACCATACTATTTACATTGTTTCGTGCCCCTCCCACCCCTCCAGGGAGGCCCCGCCTGAGCGAGGAGGGTATCCGAAAACCATACTATTTACATGGTTTCGTGCCCCTCCCACGGGGGCCCCGCCTGAGCGAGGAGGGTATCCGAAAACCATACTATTTACATGGTTTCGTGCCCCTCCCACACCTCCAGGGAGGCTCCGCCTGAGCGAGGAGGGTATCCGAAAACCATACTATTTACATGGTTTCGTGCCCTTCCCACCCCTCCAGGGAGGCCCCGCCTGAGCGAGGAGGGTATCGGAAAACCATACTATTTACATGGTTTCGTGCCCCTCCCACCCCTCCAGGGAGGCCCCGCCTGAGCGAGGAGGGTATCGGAAAACCGTACTATTTACATGGTTTCGTGTCCCCCCTCCACTCCTCCAGAGAGGCCGCGCTTGAACGAGGAGGGTCGCGGAAAGCATTACTCTTCGCCAGGTTTCGTAGCCCTCCCCCCTTCCAGCGGGGCCCCGCCAAAGCGAGGAGGGCATCAAGAAAATGTGTCCCACGAAACCGTTAATCTCTTTATGTGGGGAACTCCGTTAGCATAATTTTTTGGGGGGGGGTCGACGCCTCCTTGCCCCCTCCGGGAGGGGGAGGAGGAAGGAGGAGGAGGAAGAGGAGGAGGATGAGGAGGAGGAGGAAGAGGGGGGGATGAGGAGGAGGAGGAGGAGAATTCCTCTCGCACGTCACAGACTGCAACGCCTCACCGGGCCCCGTGGCATACCGCCCCGCTGCGAGCAGCTCCTCTGACCCCCCCGGGGAGACTCTCGCTCGCTTGGGGCTTGTCGCTGAACGAGAGGCGGCGAGCTGCCTTTCCAGTAAGAACAAGAACTCGACGACCAGCTGGGGCCAGGAGAAGGGTTGCAACGAACAACGGCAGAGACGGAAAGAAGCGCAACGAAACAACGAAGAGGCCATGAGCCTCCCTCTATCGTCTCTCTCTCTTCTCTGCTTCTCCCCTTCTCTTCCATCCACGCTCCTTCTGCCTTGCCTTCCTGTCTTCCCGCCCCTTCCTCACCAGGATATCTCAGAATCACCACCTCCACTATCATCAAAACCGTCATCACCCTCCTCATCCTATCCCCATCCTCCTCATCCTCCTCATCATCGCTTCCCTCCTCCCCCTCCTCCTCCTCCGCCGCCTCCTCCTCCTCCTCCTCCTTCTTCTCACGCTCCTCCCCCTCCTGCCTCCTCCCTCCCTCCTTCTCCATCCTCCTCCCTCCTCCTCCACCACGCGCAGGAGCGGAACCACGGGCGCACCCCGTCGAGCTCCGACGCGGAGAGCTCGAGCGGGACGCGGATCCCTGGCGGCGGCCCCTCCCAAAACCCGCCTGCGCGAGGAGGTAGAAAGCATCGTCGTTGCCCTGCTCCTCCTCCTCCTCATCCTCCTCCTCCTCCTCCTCCTCCTCATCCTCCTCCTCCTCCTCATCATCATCCTCCTCCTGTTCTTCTTTTTCTGCTTCCTCATAAATTATCCGTGCCTTTTCTCCGCTTGGGACCTTGAACAGCAACAGCAGGTGATACCCCAACATGCACGAGCACTGGTCGAAGGCCAGAACCTTCGACCAAAGTTGCATGCCTGCCGTGATCTAGACACGCTCTTGAGCAAAGCCCTGACAAGCTCTTTCTTACAGAACAGATTCGGCTCACAGGGAGATGCGAACTTGGCCCCATAATCCAGACTTGGAATACCACACAGCTTCCGTCAACCCGTCAGCCCTCTCCTCAAGATCCCAAGGATGGGCGCAGACTCAGGCTTGCTTGCGAAGCGAGCCGTAGGGGACACCTTGAGCGGCCATATTACCCATACAGGCTTACAGGATTAAAGCGACGGTCGAGGCTTAGGACATTCTGGGTGGATCGTCGATTGCCTTCATGCGCCTCTAGGCTCCCGCGCGGCGTTCCAGAGGCCTCCTGATCCCCCTTCAGGGTTGGCGGAACCAGTCGTAAGGCCTCTCCGTGCGTCGATACGCGTACAGAGGGCCCAGGCTTAGGAGATGTGCGAATCTCGGCGAGGGCTCAGGAAATGCACGGGGCACCTGGCCGAGCAGCCAAAACTTCCCCACCCCTCTGATCGGATCCGCATCAAGCTTCATTGCGTTCTCGTGGTTCTGGAGCTCCTGGGACGATCCCTCCTCCATCCTCCTCCCTCCTCCTCCTCCTCCTCCTCCTCCTCCTCCTCCTCCTCCTCCTCCTCCTCCTCCTCCTCCCAGCCCATGCCTACTGACAACCTCTCGTGCCAGGACATTCGCGCAGCGACCCCCTGGAACATCACCACGGTCATAGCCATCAACCGCGCTCCCCAAAGCGCTGTGCACCTTGGACCCAGCAAGAGGAAGATCCGAGTGCGAACCGCACGACGTGGCCATCTACCGCCAAGATCTGCTCTGAGGATTTGTGCCCGACAGCACCCTTCGCGGCCTCGCGCCCCTCCTCTTCCTCCTTGTGCATGCTCCCCGGAGAAGGAGTAGATTGTCCAACAGTCTTCTGGGGTTTGACGGTGTAGGAAGAGGATCGACGTCTTGGACGTCGTTAGCCCTCTCAGGCCTCCCTCATTCCGCCTCATTCCCCCTTCTACCCCTCCTGCTCCTCCTCCTCCTCTTCCTCCTCCTCCTCCTCCTCCTCCTCCTCCGCCTCCGCCTCCTCCTCCTCCTCCTCTTCCTCCTCCTGCTCGCCCTCGGCCCGACGGGCCCAACTCGCGGGGGGGGGGGGGCACTCCTCCCTTCTTCCATCCCTCGCCCCTCCTCCCTCCCCCATCCCTCGTCCCTTCTTCCATCCCCCGTCCCTTCTTCCATCCCCCGTCCCTTCTTCCATCCCCCGTCCCTTCTTCCATCCCTCGTCCCTTCTTCCATCCCTCGTCCCTTCTTCCATCCCTCGTCCCTTCTTCCATCCCCCGTCCCTTCTTCCATCCCCCGTCCCTTCCTCCATCCCCTCGTCCCTTCCTCCCTCCCTTCGTCCATCCCCTCGTCCCTCCTTCCCCACCTTCCGCCTGCTCCTTGTCTCGACCGCCGCACCCTCGGGGTGCGGCGCTCGCCCAGCCCCTGCGGGCTCGACTTGCCCACTCGAGGACGGCCTGACCTCCTCCTCCTCCTCCTCCTCCTCCTCTTCCTCCTCCTCCTCCTCCTCCTCCTCATCATCATCCTCCTCCTCCTCCTCCTCCTCCTCCTCCTCCTCCTCCTCCTCCTCATCCCCATCATCATCCTCCTCCTCCTCCGCCTCATCATCATCCTCCTCCTACTCCTCCTCATCCTCCTCCTCATCCTCCTCCTCCTGACTGACCTCATCATCCTCCTCCTCATCATCATCATCCTCCTCCTCTTGCTCCTCCGCCTGGCGCTGGAGAACTGGCGGAGGATTGATGTTTAGGATGTGAGCAGTCTCTCGTGCGTTTCGTTCCACATTGGTCGGGTCTCTGGGAGAGCCGTCGACGCCATACCTGCATCCGCATCGAAATTATGGTCGGACAGCGCCCCACGACAGGTTCAGTTCCCGACTTGCAAGAAGGAGAAGGAGGGGGAGGAGGAGGAGGAGGAGGAGGAGGAGGAGGAGGAGGAGGAGGAGGAGGAGGAGGAGCAGGAGGAGCAGGAGGAGCAGGAGGAGGAGAAGGACAAGGCCCACCAGGGTAAACACAAGGTGTATCGCATCAGCGATGCTACCATATGTCCTGCTGTCCAAGCCTGCCTCCCCGCAAGTCCCTTCAAGCGTTCCTATTCACTACAGGAAGCCTCCCCCCCTTGAAAGACGAGAGCCCCCTGAGCCCGCAATTCGGGCGGAAGCCCCGTAAGGAATGGAGCGGGGTCATGAAGTTCAAGGAGGTGCCCAGCGAAATCCCCGCTTGGACAAGGCACCGCCCTCCAATCGTGCAACAGTCGAACAGAAACCGTGCGAGGCCTCCAGCGACAGACCCACTTTGAAAGGAGCCACTCTCCACCAGTGCAGCTGCTGCACACGCCAGCACGTGCGAGCCTATGCTTGGGAAGGCGTGAGCCCCATTTTGAAAGGCAACCGCCCTCCAGCCGTGCGAGTGCTAGACCGTGTCCAGGCGAGCGAGCACGCGGCGCGAGGTGCCCCGTTTGGAGGACGGACCGCCAGCCATCCGTGCAGGTACAGCACTTTGTCGTGCGAGGACGCACGGCGCCTAAGCGATAGCCCGATGTTGGAAACGGTCCGGGCACGGCCCGTGCAATCGTTGGAGCTCTCGGGCTCCAACATCGCAAACCGTTGAAAGACTGAAAGACGAAGATCATGCTGGGAGGAAGGACGTGGGAAGATACAGGCTGCGCGTGTGAAACAGGCACGTTCAACATACCCGATAACACGGTGGCGTTGCTCATGTATCCCAACCTGGTCCTCCAAATCCAATTATATGTTCCTGGATCTGTTCCAAAGAATAAGATGAAGAAGAAGAAGAAGACGAAGAAGACAAATAATGAAATGGAGAAGAAGAACAAGATGAAAAACGACAACAACAATCAGTTTGAGACTGGTCGCTCCTATCTGATCACGTGCAAGTCAATACGTATATCCCAAACCCTCGGTACCCGCCCTCGTCGTCTTCGAGCGTCCCCCTTGGGGGTATGTCTTCCTTACCTGCCACGTGCATTTAATGCAGCCCCTAAAACAAGGGAAGAGGGGACGGGTGGAAGTGGGAGGGAAAAGAATGGATCACGAGAGAAATTAGCAGGAGGGGGGCACGGACGAGAAAACAAGTGGTAGAACCAGACGGGCAGATCGGGTGGGGAGACCCATAGCGGGCAGGTCGGGAAGGTGAGCCCAGGCGACCAGGTCGAGCATGCGGGTTGCTGAAGCGTGGGTCCTGCATGAATCGCGAGGAAGTTTCGAGCGATAGCGCGATTCCCACATAAATCGTGGAAAATACAAAGCGAGAGCGTGATTCCTGAGCGCCGAGGGCGCATCGTCTGAATAGATTGCGAGGAGGTCCCACGTGAGAGCGCGATGCGTGCATGAATTGTGAGGAAGTCCCGCGCGAGAGCGCGATTTGGGAATAAATAAAGAAGTACCAGGCGGGAGCAGTTGTTGTTGTAAACCGGGAGCCAGGGGCCCAGTTTGAGCCGAGTGACTTTCCCTGATCAATGATACCCGAGAAAAAAACACAATCATAATAATTTAAGGGCTATAGGGCTATGGGGCTATAGGGCTACAGGGCTATAGGCCTGTAGGGCTACAGGACTAAAGGGCTATCGGGCTATAGAGATGTAGGCATATAGAACTGTAGGGCTATAAGGCTATGGCGCTACAGGGTTATAGGGTTATAGGGCTATAGGGCTTTAGGGCTATAGGGCTATAGGGCTATAGAACTATGGGGCAATTGGTCTATAGGGCTATAGGGCTATAGAGCTATTAGGCTATAGGGCTATAGGGCTATAGGGCTATGGGGCCATAGGGCTATGGGGCCATAGGGCTATAGGGCTACAGGGCTATAGGGCTACAGGGCCACAGGGCTATAGGGCTATAGGGCTATAGGGCTAAAGGATTATAGGGCTATAGGGCTATAAAGCTATAAGACTGTAGGACTACAGGGCTATAGGGCTGTAGGGCTATAGGGCTATAGGGCTCCGAGCACCCGGGCGGGGCGCCGAAATCGGCGACGCAGCTCCCGGGCACCCGGGCACCCGGGCGTGCCGCCGAAATCGGCGACGCATCTAACCTAACCATATGAATCCGCTATGACCCCTACAGAGGCAAGCTCTGACTGGGGGAAAAACAGGGTGCGAGCCCCGGGGGAATACCTTCAATTGAAAAAACTAAAAGGGTCACCGGAGGGGGGGGATTCAACATTAAGTATTCTTCAGTAGTGAGAGTTCAGCAACAACAACAGCAGCAGCAGCAACAGCAACAACAACAGCTACAAAACAAAAACAACAAGCTTAAGACTGTTCGCTCTCATCTGCTCGCGCGCCAATCAATACGTATAGCCCGAATCCTCGATGCCCGCCCTCTTCGTCTTCGACAGTACGCCCTTAGGGGTATGTCTTTTTTACCTGCAACACTCTTTTCGTCAAGCCCATAAGGCAGGGGAAGAGAGGACGGATGGAAGAAAGAGACGAGGAGCAGGCGGGTTGCTGAAGCGTGCGTCCTGCATGAATCGCGAGGAAGTCTCGAGCGATAGCGCGCTTCCCGTGTGAATCGTAAGAAAATCCACCGAGAGAGCGTGATTCCTGAGTGTCGAGGGCGCGGCGTCTGCATAAATTACAACGGCAGTCCCACGCAAGAGCGATTCCTATGTAAATTGTGAGGAAAGCCGAGCGACAGCGCGATTGGGGAATAAATTGTGCGGAACTATCAAGCGGAAGCCGTTGTTGTTGTAGTTCGGCGCCCACAACTTAGTTCGGCGCCCAACACCTGATGCGAGCCCCCGGAGAAGCACTTCAATTGAAAAATACAACGGGTTACCGGAAGGGGATCTAAAATGGTAAGTCTTAGAAACGAGAATTCAACAACAACAACAACAACAACAAACTAAAATAAAAACACACACATCACCCCAAACAAAAACAAAGACAACACCAACAAAAATAACAAAAACAAAAACAATAACAAACGACAACAACAATAACACCAAAAACAACAACAACAATAGCAACAACAAGAACAACAACAACACCAAACACAACAACAACAACAGCAACAACAACAACTACTACTACTACTACTACTACTACTACACCGACTATTACTACTACTACTACTACTACTACTACTACTACTACTACTACTACTACTACTATTACGACTACTACTATTACTACTACTACTACTACTACTACTACTACTACTACGACGACGACGACTACTACTACTACTACTACTACTACTACTACAATCACAACAACGACAACAACTACAACGATAACGGCAACTATAACGAACCAAAAGAACAGCAGCAGCATCAACAACAGCAATCGTTGCAATACTCTTCGCTCTTATCTGCTCGCGTGCCACTCAACACTTACAGCCCGAACCCTAGATACCCGCCCTTTCGTCTTCGATCCTACTCCTCAAGGAGTATATCGCTCTTACCTGCACATTCACTTCGTCCAGCCCCTAAGACAGGGGAACAAAGGACGGATGGAAGGAAGGGACAAAAGGGGAGGGAGGAGGATGGAGCACGAGAGAGAAAAAGTAGCAGGAGAGGGGCTAGGAGCAGACAACACGTGGCAGAACCAGACGGGCAGATCGGGCGGGTAGACCCTCACTGGCGGGTCGGGAAGGCGGGCCCAAGCGGCCAGGTCGAGCAGGCGGGTTGCTGAGGCATGCGTCCTGCAGAAATCGCGAGGAAGTCTCGAGCGATAGCGCCTCTAACTAAATCGCGAGGACATCTACAGGGAGACGTGCTTCCTGAGTGTCGAGGGCGCGGCGTCTGCATTAATTGCAGGGAAGTCCCACGAGATAGCGCGATTCCTGCATAAGTTGTGGGGAGGTCCCGCGCGAGAGCGCGATTGGGGAACACAGTGTGCGGAAAAATCAAACGCGACCCGTTGCTGTTGTAGTTCGGCGCCCAACAGCACAGTTTGGTGGCACCTCACTTTCCCTAGTAAAAGACCCGGTACGAGCCCCAAAAGAAGCACTCCAATTGAAAAATGCAATGCTTACCGGAGGGGGGATCAACAATAATTAATTCCCAAAAATGGAAAACTCAGCATCGACAATAACAAGCATTGTAAGACTGTTTACACCCGAACCTTCGATACCCGCCCTCTTCGTCTTCGACCGTACCCCAATAAGGGTATATCTTTCCTACATGAAACGTGCATTTCATGCAGCACCTAGGGCCGGGAAAGAATGACGGATAGAAGGAAGGGACAAGGGGGAGGGAGGAGGATGGAGCACAAGAGAGAGAGAAGAGCAGGAGGGGGGCCAGGAGCAGAAAACACATGGCAGAACCAGACGGCAGATTGGGCGGGTAGACCCTAACGGGCGGGTCGGGAAGGCGGGCCCAGGCGGCCAGGTCGAGCAGGCGGGTTGCTGAAGCGTGCGTCCTGCATGAATCGCGAGGAAGTCTCGAGCGATAGCGCGCTTCCCAAGTGAATCCTGAAATAAGCCAAAGCGAGAGCGTGATTTTTGAGTGTCGAGGGGGCCGCGTCTGAATAAATTGCGAGGGAGTCCCACGAGAGAGCTCGATGTCGGCATACATTGCAATGAAGTCCCGCGCGACAGCGCGATTTGATAATATATTGGAAGGCAATATCAGGCGGGAGTGTTGCTGTTGTAAACCGGAAACCAACAACACAATTCTGAGACCTCAGACTCTCCCTTGTAAAAAACGAGGTGCGAGCCTCGGGAAGGACACTTCAAATGAAAACCATACAATGTGCCCTGGAGGGGGGTCAACTGTATTTCTTCAGTAGTGAGAGTACAAACACAACAACAACAACAACAACAACAACAACAACAACAACAACAATCATGTTAAGACTGTCCGCTCTTACTGGCACTCTTGTTTTGCATTCTGCATACCCCAACCCTCGATACCCGCCCACTTCGCCTTCGACCGCTCCCCCTTTCGGGGGGAATATCTTCCTTGTCGGCCACTGACTGCAGTGCGAGGAGCTCTCGAGCGAGATCGCCGTTCCTGATTTCGGGGGCCTCTCTGGCCAGGCCAGGGGCTCTCGGAATACATATTGAGAAATATCGAACGGGAACTTTTGTCGCCGTGTCTGGGCCTCCACCAACTTGCCTGAATTACGAGAAAATCCCGAGCGAGAATACCACTCTGGAGCTCGGGAGCCTCTCTGGAAAGGACCTCTGCGAATACATCTTGAGGAAGTATCGAACGAGAACCCTTGTCGTCGCATTTGGACCTCCATCAGTCTGACTGAATCATGAGAAAGTCTCGAGCGAGAGCGCCGTTCTTGAGCTCGGGGGCCTTCCTGGCCAGGGGCTCTCGGAGTAAATCGTGAGGAAGTATCGCGCAGGAGCCCTTGTTGTCGTGGCTGTGCCCCCGCCAACTTGACTGAATTGCGAGGAAGTCTCGAGCGAGAGCGCCGTTCCTGAGTTCGGGGGCCTCTCTGGCCAGGATGCCTCGGGGCAAACTGTGAGGAAGTATCGAGCGGGAGCCGTTGTCGTCGTAGCTGGGCCTCCAAGGGCCCACTGTTACACTCAAGCCAACGCTCGAGCCTCGAGCGGGAGCCTCGTTTTCAGAGAAAATGCAGCTGGCGTCGAGGAGAGAGCGCCCGGAATCGTTTCCGGAGATCAACAATAACTATTCTCTAGAAATGGGTATTCAACAACAACCACAACCACAACCACAACAACAACAACAACAACCAAAAAACAAAAACAAAAACAAAAACAAAAACAAAAACAACCACAATCATGTTAAGACTGATGGCTCTTACTTGCTCGCGTGTCATTCAACACCTATATCCCAAACCCTTGGTACCCGCCCTTTTCGTCGTTGATCGTACCTCTCAGGGGTATGTACCTTCCGGTTGTGATTGCTGCAGCCCCTGAAACAGGGGAAGCGGGGACGGATGGAAGGGGGATGGAGAAAGATGGAGCACGGGATTAGCAGGAGGGGGGCCAGGAGAAGAAAACACGTGGCAGAACCCGACGGGCAGATCGGGCGGGTAGACCCGAACGGGCGGGTCGGGAAGGCGGGCCCAAGCGGCCAGGTCGAGAAGGCGTGCTGATGAGGCGTAAGTACTGCATGAATCGCGAAGAGGGCTCGAGCGATAGCGCGATTCCCAAGTAAGTCGTGGGCAAGGCCAAAGCGAGAGCATGATTCATGAGTGTCGCGGGCGCGGCGTCTGCATAGACACCTCGCTTTCCCTTGTAAAAACCGGGTGCAAGCCCCAGCAGGAACACTTTAGTTCCAAAAATACGGTGGTTACCGTGGGGGGACCAACAACAACAACTCTGTAAAGGGAGAATGCAACAACAACCACAACAACAACATCAACAACGGCAACAACAACAACAACAACAACAACAACAACAACAACTACAACAACAACATCCACATCAACAACAACAACAACAACAACAACAACAACAACAACCACAACAACAACAACAACCACAAAAACAACACCCGCGACGACGACGACGACGACGACGACGACGACGACAACGATGACGACGACGACGACGACGACGACGACGACGACGACGACGACGACGACGACTACGACGGCTACAACGACATCAACAGCAACAGCAAGAGCAACAACAGCATCCACAATCAGCACAACCACAACCACAACCACAAATAAAACCACAACCACAACCACAACCACAACCACAACAGCGACAGCAACAGCAACAGCAAGAGCAGCAAGAGCAGCAACAGCAACAACAAAAAGAAACGCCCAGACCGACCGAACGACAAGTCGGGTGCTGCGCTCCGTCCAACATAGGTTCGACGATCGTCAAGGAAGGGGCCGTGTATAAGGACGATGGTTGGAACAACTGCTCATGCAGGACAATGGCCGTAAGGTTCGCTCACTTTGCCATTGTCGACCTGCGTGCCACGGAATCGATGCACGGGAGGAGAACAACTAGGCGGCCCACGTGAGCGACAGCGGCAGATGATGCTGCCTCCAGGAACCTCCAGAGACCCCTTCCTCCTCTCCCTTCTGCTCCTCCTACTACTCGTCCTCCTCCTCCTCCTCCTCCTCCTCCTCCTTCTCCTCCTCCTCCTCCTCCTCCTCCTCCTCCTCCTTCTCCTCGGGGTGTCAGCAACAATGGGTGTTACTTCATCAGGGGCTCTTCCTATGTATAATTGTGCGACCACCGAAGCCGACAAACAGACATATGTAGTCCCCAGCCTTCCTCCCTCCAGTTGCCGAGCTCATACGCAAAAAACGACTGCTGGGGGTGTTCAGCGCATCACGGGCACATCTAACCATGTCCAGGTCCACCTCTATTCGCGAGTCGATTTCCCTGTCCAACGCGACCGCTGCAAAGCTCTACCTGCAGAAGACCCGCTCTACTGCATACAAACATAATTTCACGAGGCACACTACACTTTGGAAGAGCGAGAAGGAGAGAGGAACAGAGAGAGAGATATATAGAGAGAGAGAGCATAAGAAAAAAAAAAAAAAAAAAAAAAAAATGGCTCCGAAATCACCCCTGTCTTCACTGCAGATAGTAGGCGGCTCCTTCATTTGAAAGCAGCACAATGCGCTCGGGCACCAACCCCAGCGACTTCGCCAACAGGCCAGTGACGTCGGACACCGAGCCGACCACGTTCTGGCGGCAACAGAACACAAGCCCAAACATCTAGACTCGTTGTGCATGTTGCCGTATGCCACTCCTCTTCGACGCGTGCGCACATGATCGCACATCCATCTCATATCGCAAAACCTGGTCGCACGATCCCTCTGAGCTTCTCGGTCTAGCGCCGCGCATCCGCAAGATAAACATGTATTCCCAATGCTTGGCTCCTCCTTCCTGGCGCCCACCTCTCGTGTGTGTGATGAAACAGCAATTCCTTTAGCTGCCACTTCCCAGCAACCCTCCGCCCCTCCGGGCTGAGATGCACACGCTTCCCGCTGATCAAGCGGAACTCCACCGACTCCGAGAGGACCCCCTGGCGAAAACAGCGAGACACAACGGGACCACTTCGCAGAGCACACCATGATTGGGGACACCAAAAGGTACCGATACCGCTACTCCCCGGACCTCTGCTGGGGTGCGTTCTGACCAGGATTAGGCGAATCCAGCGGTGGCGACGACGGAGGCCCAGGTGGCCAAAAAAGGGGAAATTGAGGAGAGGGTAGAGGTATGGGTACCTCCTCCTCCTCCTCCTCCTCCTCCTCCTCCTCCGGATTCTGGGACACATCCACCCAAACAGGCAAATTCTCCAACGCCTTTCCCTCAAGCGCGCTCGCTTGTTATTGGGTGCGCTGCTCGGCAATCGCAGTGCAACTTGGCTGCCGATCTCAACGGACACAGCACGACGGCGTCACAGTGCCGACCTGCATCACAAAAGCACATCTGGAGGGGCCCAAGGACACACAAATCAATACACACACACATAACCGGTGTTTGTCTCCCCCCCCCACTTCCCATACTCCAGATTTCGTAATGAAAGGGAGGGGGTCTGGACCCTCCAAGACAAGCCATTTCAGACCCCTCCCCGTGGGAGAACCCACCAAGACATCGTCCCCAGACCCCCCCAGGCCCTCCAAGATAGCCTGGAAGAGACCCCCCCCGAAATGAGACCCCCCGAAATCTGAAGTACTTTCCCATATTTTCCTGGGGATCGACGATTCATTGTGTCCGTGTGATTCTTTCCCCGCCTGAACATCATCGTGCGCGAACAGAGATGAACATCTGGGTTGAACCCAAGCGCATGCATGTCGTTTTGGTTCGGCACCTCGAGCGCACAATTTACCATGATCCTGCAATATGCCATGATCCTGGGCCCCAGCATCGGCCCAGGAGTGGTGCGGCGACAGCAGCGAGGCAACGACGGGGCGGCAAGCTGTGATGAACCCGGCGCGCGATAGCGAGCTTGGGGGGAGGCGAGGTGGGGGATGGAAACAGGAAAGAAGACTCAAAAAAAACAGTGAAAACATAAGTGCCCGCATGAGCCCGCAATAAAAAAAATGTGTCCGCAGGAGAGAAAGAGATATAGAGAAAGAGAGGGAGAGAAAGGGAGAGAAAGAAGGAGGGTGAGAAAAGTACAAAATACAAAAAAAATGATACAAAGAGAGAGAGAGAGAGAAGCATGTCCTGTGTCAGTGTAGGTGCAAGTGCACGAGAAGCGGGGCACCCTCACACGTTTCGTGGCTCCACCTGGAACTCAACCTGAGGCCCCTGGGTGCGTCCACATGCTCCTCCCCGAACATTTCGGCACACCCCTTGAACGCGTCGTGGCTCCATCTGGAGCTCCACATGAAGCCCCACTGGGTGCGGTCACTTGCGGCTCCCCGCCCATTGCGGCTCACCCCTCACATGTTTCGTGGCCCCGTAGAGAGCTCCACCCAAGGCCCCACTGGGTGCGTCCACATGCGGCTCCCCGAACATGCTGGCACAAAGCTACTGGAGCAGCTGGAAGCTCGCGTCCGCGAGCTCGAGGACGTCGTCTTCGACGTGCTGGCCACGCCGAAGACCAGGCCGATCGTGGAGCAGGGCCAGAGAGCGTGCTCAAGCAGCACGCGGCCGCGGTCGAGGGCGACCCGAACCACAAGCGCGGCCCCCCGCACCTGCACGTGGGCATGGCCATGCTCGCGGCACTGGCCGGAGAGGCAGTGCAGTCCAAGGACGCGGCGCAGCGCGCGCGGGAGCTCGCCCTGCATGCGTCAGTCGTGGCAGCCAAGACCCAGCAGCTCGAACGCGTGACGGCATGGCTTCTGAGCTTCAGAATCGCAGACGTGTACCACCAGCCCAACCAGGCCGAGAAGGCGAGACGAGGGTGGTCTGCCACATGGCAGGAGAGGTCGGCCTCCCCAGCACGACCGTGCCTGGAGGCGCGCGAGAACGCCAGGAAGGACGCGGCGGAAGAGGAGGACGGCCTGCTGCAGTGGGCCGAGACCTTCGTGACTTTGGATTCCGACGGGGGAGAACCTGAGGAGCATCGGCATCCAGCAGTTGGTGACAAGCATGTTGTGCAGCCAGGGGGGCACGCGGTGGGCCGGGAAGGCGCCCCGCGGCAAGCTCGCCCGCCGGGTGAACAAGCTCATCCAGGGCACGGGGGAGGAGGAGGAGGAGAAGTGAGGGGCCAGACGCAGTCCGAGGCAGCGCCCTTCCCCTCGAGGTCCCACGCCTCACGGGGGGCGTGACTTTGGGGGGGTTCTTACCGCCCCGTCGCGTCCAGCCGGTAGGGGAGCACCGCGCATCTCGCTCAGATACGGTAGAGACGGAGTAAGTAGCTCATCCCAGTAATCGTGCTTCTCCGATGTCTCGACAAAAACGCTCCGCGGCTCCATCTGGAGCTCCACCTGAGGCCTCAGGTGGCAGCATCCGCGTGCTGTTCCCCGCCCAATCTCGGCGCGCACCTCACACACCCGCTGCGTGGCTGGAGAGCCAGCGAGAGGCCCGAGCGGGTGCGTCCGCGTGCGGCTGCCCGCCCATGTCGTCACAACCCTCACACGTGCCGTACACCCTGCGAAATGCTTAAGAAATCACGGGTTAAGAAATTCATAGTCTCAGAACTTGAATAAAAACCCAACATTTCGATTCAAATCTTAAGATTTACATTGAAACGTTAAGAATAATCGACACTCTGGCCGAAAACTCAAGGTGTAGTCCCACAGGGAGCTTCCCCTCCTTCGTCCCACCTGCCTTGCGGCACTCACACTTGCATATGGCTTGGTCCTTCGCACGGACAGTTCAACGACTGGCATGGTGTTCGCCGATGGGCTTCCACTGCATCAAGACGGCCTCAAGCTGGTCCAAGAAAGCGCCAGGGGGATCCCAGAATCGCTGCAAGACAGCCCCGAGGTCCCCCCATTGTGTACCAGGATGACCAAAAGAGGAGAGCTTGAGCGGCCCAAGCGGGGAACCCTGATCAAGGGGCCCCCCTCTTAAGATTCGATGGCCTCCAGAGTCGCTCCGAGTGGGCTCGCGACCGCCAAGAGGGTCCTCGAAAGTCCTTAGAACGCCTCCTAGGCTCCCAAACAGGCCCCAGGATACCCCCAAGATGAGTCCCAACGGCTCCCCATCAAGGCCCACAGAAATTTCTGAATTCATGACAGTTGGCCTCACCTCGCGTGTCACTTGGTATGTGTCTGGTTTCCACCTCCCGACTGTCCAGCTGGGCAACAGGGCATCGGGTCTAGATCGTCGGCTGGGCTGCGGAGAAGGGAGATTACACTCGCCCATCCACCTCTCCGGAGTCTTCGGAGCCGAATAAGCATTTCGAGGAAGAATCGGAACTAGCCACCAGCGGAGATGCACAGACATGCCAAAAGGCCCGCCCCGTCCCCAGAGAGTTCGCAACGAAATCCCTAGCACGGCGTGGCTCCATGCCCGGCCACATGTGCGCCCGCACAAGCAGCGCACGGACGCCACGCAGGCGATCACACAGAGAAGCACAGCAAGACTGAGAGTTAGCACAAGGAGCGCAAGCCAATGCACGCGGCACCAGGCACGCCTTCCACAACGCACTGACCTGCAACAGGACCCCGACAGGCCGCCCTCTGGCGCCAATCTTCCCAAGTAAATTGTGCAAGCCCAGCAGACGTCCGCTCGACTGAGGGATGGACAACGAAGGAAACGTATACACAAGCACGCACGCGCCTGCGCAAAGGCGCACATGCTACTTCAGCAGCCTGCAAGGGCGCACGCGGCCAGCCGTAACAACGCGCGCAAGCGGGATACTCTGTCAACACCCCTGGCCTCGGCCCCAAGTCTCGCACGACGGCGGGCGTAGGCAGCACTGGACCCCGGAGGGGGTGTCGGTCTTGGCGGAGGTCGCTGCTGAGAGAGGGGGAGGGAGAGAGCATGGGGGGAGGGCGCGGTCGAGCTCACGCCTGCCTGTCAGGAGCCCCCAGGACCCCAAGCCGCTGCTCTGCCTGGCGGCGGCAGACGGAGGCCACACACCTTCCGACCAGGGCGCAGCTTCGGCCGCCTCGCCTGGCACCAGCGGGGCGGCTGATGGTAGACTGCGCCCGGCCGTGGGTCCGCCATCGGGTGCTGCTAGAAGAGATGTCCTGGCCCGAAGGCGTCCCCATCGTTTCGAGCCACTTCGGGGCCCCTGGAGCCCTCTTGGCCTTGTGGGAGGCACTCAGAAGGCTATCCGGGCCTCCCTGGGGATCCAAGAGAAGACACAACAGCAGGACAGCGGCCGTGGGGAGGCGATGCGCATCGGCCTGCCCTGGCAGTGCGCCCAGCCAGGCAGCTGATCAGAGCAGCGCGAGACGTCCAACTGGGTGACATTTCGGCAAAGCCAGGACGAGAGGGGAGGAGAGGAGCGCGAGGGGCGAGGGGCGGACGAGGAGAGACGAACGGCAAGAGAGGAGGGCCTGGGTACGTTTCTAGGGGAACAAGCACTGCAATGGCACAAATAAAAAACTCGGAGGTCTCAGCGGACTTCTCGGATCGGTGCTGGAGCCCCCTGGCGGCGCCTCCGGCGCCGCCCCTGGCGCGCTCGGCGCGGCAGGGAGGGGGCTCCAGCGCCGATCCGAGACATCTGCGCGAGGGACCTCGGAATTTCTATGTCTATGTCATTGTGAGTCTCCTTGGGTAACTTCACGGCGTCCAAAAATCCACTGTGTTTGGTTCAGCGGGCCAGGCACGTCGGGGCGCGGACGGCTCGGGCCTTCGCTCAAGAGGAGGAGGAGCAGGAGGAGGAGGAGGAGGAGGAGGAGGGGGAACAAACACCAGTGCCGGGGCCGCTCGGGACCCGCTCGGGAAAAACGGTTCTGCAACGCTCGATCCCGCCCACTTGACTGCCCCTCCGTTCCCGAGCACCCAACTTCGGTGGTTCAAAGATGGGGTCCTGAGGGATGGGGGCCCAAGGATAGGAAGAGATATAAGGGTGGATTTACGTTAAGACCCCATCCCTTAGGACCCCATCTTGTCTTTGACCTGCCGACAAGTGATATCGAGCCTAGCTCGTGAAAATCTGCACTTTTGCTGGCGGCCGCGAGCAGTCGTGAACTCCGTGGAACGCCTCGACGGCGCTGGTCCATCGCTACCACGAAATAACGCCGCCAGCGCCCTCGGCGGGGCCCGGAATTTCGCGCAACCCCTCCGCGGTGCTAGTCCCTACTACGCAGCGGAACAATCGCGTTGCACGAAATTCAGCCGGCGAATTTCGTGAAACGCCTCGAAGGCCGCAAGCACATGATTTAGACCCACAAATGCGTTTCCTCGACAGTCGTGCCAAGCAGAAACTGAAGGGAAACGTCTCCGCGCCGGCCACTGGCCGTGACGCGGCCATGCGCAAGGCAGACATCTGCACCATTCGCTTGACACGCGGCTGCTTCCTGGAGGTTTCAAAACATGCAAGACTGCCTGGGCGTTTCCACCCCAAGCGACAAAGAACGAAAGCAGCGTTGTGAAGGTCAAGGCCAGGTCCTTCTGTATGCGACCCATGGTGGTGCACGGTCTCCCCTCGAAGTTCTAGCCAGAACGCGCCCTGGGACGGGCACAGAGCGAGGGGGAGGAGGCTGGCTATCCTGGGCCCCTGCGGCCAAGACTCCCCCGTGCACGCGGCAGAGGCATGCCCCGCGCAGGATGCGCGGCGAGGTGAAGCGGGCCGGCGTTATGCATCCACGCTCCACGGTGCACGGCCTCACCCCATGTCTGCCACCGCGCCTGCGACTGAAAAGTCGTTTACGCACCCACGACGGCCGAGGGTCGAGGATCTTGCACGTCTTCGGCCCCCTCGAGGCCTCCAGAGGCCTCCGGGGGCCAGGACCTCCGGGGCCGTCCAAGGACCGTCTCGAGCGCCCCTCGGGGCCGCCTTGGGGGCTCTGCGGAGGGGACGGCTCCGAGCCGCACTCGGCGCTCGGTGGACGCCTTGGGCCCATGGCCCCTGCCGCTGCCGCGCGCCACGAGCCGTGCGCCCCTGGCACCCCTCGGGCGCAGACGCAGGTCCTGCTCCATCCTGATGCTGTCGCGCTCGCAGTCCGAGCCCGAGTCCGAGTCGAAGAAGCAGCCGAAGTCGGCTGCCGAGAGCCTCTGCGGCCGCCCGAGGGCCGCCGAGAAGGCCTCCGAAGACCGCCGAGAGCCGCCGAGGGCCTCCGAGGGCCTCCGAAGGCCGCCGAGGGCCGCCGAGGGTCGCCGAGGGCCCCCAAAGGCCGCCGAGGGCCGCCGGCGTCCAAATCCACGCGTGCAGGCGGCTGCAGTCATGGGTATGATGAGGACTCTCAGCAAGAGCGGCCACGAGCCAAGAGCGGCCGGGAGGAGGGAAGGAGGGAGGGAGGGGAAGGGAGGGTGGGATGTTCCCACCTCCTGCTCCTCCTCCTCCTCCTCCTCCTCCTCCTCCTCCTCCGATGTTCCCCATACCCCACATATCCTGACTCTTCCTATACACTGTTCCTAGAGCCCTCGACTCCTTACCCCATGGGAGCTCCAAGAGGACCCAACGGTCGAGATCAATAGGGGGCAGGCCTCAAGATGGCCAGAGAACAGCCCCAAGAGGCCTCAAGATAGCCCCAAGATGGTCCCAGACAGACCCAGGAGGGCCCCCAGAAATTGATTCAATTCCCCTTCGGCTTTGAAGGATTCGGGCGTCATCGCCCATCGTGGCTTCCGACTACCAAGACGGCCCAAGAGGCCCCCAAGATCACCCCAAGTCAGACCAAGAGGCTCCCAGGACAGCTCCAAACAGCCAAAGAGGGCCCCAAGACGGCCCAAGAGGCCTCCCAAGATGGCTCCAGAGGCTCCCAAGAGGGCCCCGAAAGAAGGAATCCGGACCGACATGTCGAATCCTTCCCAGACGATGGCCCCCAAGACCGCCAGCGGGCCCCCAAGGGGCCCCCAAAGAGGCCCCCGCAACCACAAGAGAACGCACCAAGAGCGTCCAAGATCGCCCCAAGAGAGCCCCAAGAGGCGACTTTGGGGGTTCAAAGGGCGAGGCTCATTGTGTCCCCCCTTGCCGATCGAGGGCCTGCAAGATGGCCTCAAGAGGCGCCCCTGGGCTCTCAAGAGGGCCCCCAGGGTCCCAGAGGGCCCTAACAGGGCCCCAAGAGAGTCCAACAGGCTTCCAACATTGCCCCAAGATGCCTCTCAGAGGCTCCCCGAGGTCTAGTTTCACCATCGTTGGCCTACTTGCTGCACGACATGCTTACCCACGCCCCCTCCGACAGGCAACTCCCCTAGCGCTTCATCTCTAGATGCGCCAAGAATTCTGACCAACCGTTACACGGATGGAGGGCAGCTCCATTCTAAAATGGAGCTCTCGCCCTAGCGCCGCTCCCATTCGCCACACACGTGTCTAACAAGCACACTGATCGCCAGGGGTCTTTTACAATGTGTGGCTCTAGCCGTAGCGCCGCGCATATTCGATTAAAGCGACCATCACTTACACAGGTGGAGGGTGGCTTCTTTTCAGAATCGCATTATTTGAGACGTCATTTTCCCTGCTATCAGAAATACGACATAGCGCAACAGCTACACGGATGGAGGGCGGTTCCCTATTCAAACCTGGGCTCTCGCTGAAGACTTCTGGAGCTGCATGAGCAGACGTGTAAAATTTGAGAATATCGCCAAGGTCGAAAGCGTGCTTTCAAAGCGGGGCTCACTCTGGACACTTTCATACATCGTCGCCGTCCTTACAAACTAGGTGGATGCACGGCAGCTTCGCTTCAAAACGGGACCATCGCCCGAATTGCATGACGACTGGGCGGTTTTAGGGGGCGGGGAGGCACCTCTCCCAATGGAAAAAAAACTTGCAAGGACTTATGGGAAGTAGACTTTGGACGGGAGCACATTCTGGTATGATTGACGCATTCTGGGGTTACTCTCGTCCTCCTCCTCCTCCTCCTCCTCCTCCTCCTCCTCATTATCATCATCATCATCAGCATCATCATCAGCATCATCATCATCACCATCATCATCACCATCATCACCATCATCACCATCATCATCATCGTCATCATAACCATCATCATCATCATCAGCAGCAGCAGCATCATCATAATCGTCATCAGCAGCATCATCATCAGCGTCATCATCACTATCAGCATCATCATATCAGTATCATAATCATCATCAACATCATTAGCAGCATCATCATCGTCAGCATCAGCATCAGAATCATCATCAGCATCATCGTCATCAACATCATCATCATCATAATCGTCATCAGTGTCGTCATCAGCATCGTCATCAGCATCACCATCATAACCATCAGCCGCATAACCATCATCATCATCAACAACATCATCATAACCATCTCAAATCATTGTCATCAGCATCAGCATCAGTATTATCATGATCAGTTTCATCATCAGCATCATCATAATCGGCATCAGAAGCATCATCATAAACAGCATCAGCAGCATCAGCAAAAGCATCAGCATCATCATAATCATCATCATCAGCATCATCATCATCATCATCGTCGTCATCATCATCATCATCATCATGATCATCATCATCATCATCATCATCATCATCATCGTCATCATCATCATCATCATCATCATCATCATCATCATCATCATCATCATCCACGTCACCATCATGACTCCGCCTTCCCCTCCTCCTCCCCCTCGTTCTCCCCATCCCCCTCCCCCTCCCCCTCCCCCTCCTCTTCCGCCTCATCTGCCTCCTCCTCCTCCTCCTCCTCCTCCTCCTCCTCCTCCTCTTTTTCCTCCTCCTCCTCCTCTTCCTCATCCTCATCCTCCCCCGTTGCGTCAACAGGGGCCTCACAAGGGACCCGAGCTCACAAGGACACCCCGCGCGCGCAAGCCCACACGCAGCGGCGGCGCGCCCTGAACGAGACGAACGTCCGGCGCGGTCCTCCGAGCGCGGCAGCGGCCACAAGCTTTGAGGCCGCCAGGGAACGCATTGCTCATGTGGATCTTGAACTCACCTGCCGCTGCGGAGGAGGAATGGGGAGCCCCGCCGACGTCCCGAGGATTGGTTTATCCTTGGTTCTTGGAGGTACTCTTGCCTCGGGGGGTGTCTTCCAGCAACTGCGCCTCGCCGAGAACATCCCTGGGGCGCGCAAACCGTCCCGAACTGCCGGCCGAGGCCGAAGACAGGGCCCGAAACCGCTCGGAGGAGACAGAAGGCACCCAGACGCCACCGCCATGCCTGGCCAGGGCCACCCTAAGCCCAGGTATGCCTAGGCCCCCCTGGCCGAGTCCAGGAAGGTCCACACACCATCCGAGGGCCCATGATGGGTCTGGCCAGGCATGGTGGTGACATATGAATAAAATCTACGGGTGGAGGACGGGGGTACGCTGGAAGTTACGATGGCTGCTACATCTCACGGGGGAGGCGCGCATCGTCAGAAGCTCGGGGCAAACCCTCGGAAGCCGTTGGACAACAACCCGCCACCGTTCTGCAGAATCCTCCCAGTATCTAGGCCCGTACAGCGCAGCAACGGCCAGGAGAGGAAAAGGAGAGGAACGAGCAAGTGCCAGGACCGAGGACTGAGAATGGCGGACGCGGCATGGGCGAAATCGCGCACACAGGCGGATGGGCAGGCACAGGGTGGGCCAGGGTAGGCCGCGGACGATGGCAATCACCACGGGGGAGGGCGTCCAGCATGGGCTCGGGAGGGGACGGGGGGAGCGGAGGGGGGGCGGAGAGCGAAGTGGAGGGGGAGCACGGACGGAAGCCAGGAACCAACGAGGCTCACTGAGAAGAAGCCTGCGGGACGACAAGAGCAGCTCTATAGCCTTCGAGTCTAGCGCACAGTTGGCGACGTCGAGGCTGGGCAAACGCACCCGTCAGCCCCGCGTGGTGTACGTCAGCTGTCTGGATGGCGCAGTTTGCCAAGGCACAGCCCTGGACCTGCAGCTGGGATGACTGGCCGCGCGCGTGGAGCGATTCGGCGCAACACCCTCGTGACACCCAGACCGCAGATCCCGCAGAGCTGGGGGCTCGCCCTCGCAGCAGGCGCCGACAAGCAAGAGCCGGGGGCTCGCCCTCGCACGCTGCAAGATCTCAAAACCTGCAAGGACATCCAAGGCGAGAGCACACAAGCCGTCCTCCAACCGCGAGAACGTCCATGTGTTTGGAACGACTCCCGCGCATGCGCCTCTAAGAATAACTCGGCCTCCTGCGAGAGCGTGATCTGCAGAGTCACGAAAGATCGTGACAGCTTAAGATCGATCGAGCACGAAAGTGTTGTCTGCCCGTCGTCTGCCCGCGTACACTCTACGTACACTCCTCGACGCGGCAACACGAACAAATATGCGTCCCATTGACTCGCACTTTCCGCTGCGAGCGTCTCAATGTCTGCGATGCTGTCCTGCTGATATATGCCGGTATGCGCTGTTCTCGAATGATGACCTCCCAATGGCCAGCTGGGCACGCGCAAAAATATCCGGGTGCGCGGCAAGGCGCAAGCTCGCAACAAGATGAAAGCATTGGGGACGTGAAGACGGGGACTCAGCAATGACCACACTCACAAACACCCACGGCAATCATACAGGAGAGGTCCCCAAGCGCGAAGAAGCTCCGACCGCGAGCGCGCGGGGGGCGAGCGGGTGGCGGGAGGGCCAATGCACCAAAGCCTCTGGGCGATCATGACGGTGCCCGTCGGAGGGAGCTCGCCCGCGAGAAGGGACAGCTTTGTTCCCCGCCCGCCCTCCATGCGATCGCAGCGCAGCCGCTGGGGGGGCGTGGCGGACAAGCCACACAAAACAGAATTGAACCAAAGCAGTCGAAAAGATTGCCGGCCCCACGCCAGAATCGCGATGCCTGCCACATCGCGGGGCCCAGGATACTCTGCAAAGACACGCGCCCAGAACCGAAGAACGCAATTGGACCTGAGAGGCCCCCACGATTTGGGTGCGAACGGGCTGTGTGGCATACACCCTGGCGGCTCCCTATCGGAGGACTCAAAGCCATGCCAGACGCATCGCGGTGGGCATGACCCGTCAGACCCACAAACGCATTTCTTCCTGGCAGATCCTGATTTCGATGGCAACCACCCCTTGTGGCCCTCACGTCGGGAACCACATGCCATGCCTGCTATACGCCTGCAATAATACTTGTTCGCCGCGGGTCACCAAAATCCGGGCGTGAACGGAACTGCGCAATACATACTAGGGGACACCCCTCCTCCCCCACTTCATGACAACTGCCATGCCATGCCTGATAAATCACGCTTATATGGAGGTTTCAGACAAGAACAAGCAAACCAGAACAAACAACCAAAACAACACAACAACAACAACAACAACAACAACAACAACAACAACAACAACAACAACAACAACAACAATCATTTTACCCGAACGCGTGGTGTTCTCCCCAGTGCCAGGGTTTTCATACGACACCAGGCAATACCCCCACTTCGTGGGGGGGCATTACAAGCTCTACCAAATATCCAAACGACTCTTCGCGACCACCCAAACCCAACCCGCCCTATGACCACCGGTGGCGTGCGACGACCGTGGCTACTACACTGGCGTGGGGTACACACCCACAGAACTTGGTCACTTATTCGGGGTCGTGTGATTTTATGATGCGCGGTGCTAAAATTCTTAAGAACCCAATGGTTTTTGGAGATTTCGGCGTGCGCGCGCGAAGAAAAAACGAATGTGTCCCGCATGGTATTATTTGACAGGGATGATGGCCCTGGCAGGTGCGCAACCGTTGTCGCAGAAGTTCGAAAAAGTTGCTCGCAAAAGCCCGTTTGACAGAAATGTTTAAAAAGTGTTGGGTTTCCTACGAATCCGCAAGAGCGCGCGGGATGAGATTTTGACATTTTTTTGTTGAAAAACCATTGGTTTTTTGATGTTTTTATGTTAAAATCGCTCCGAACACTAAGCTTTTGGAAGGATTTCGTCTTGCGCGCGCGAATGTCCACTTTACCTTATTTTTTGCAAGGGATTCTTGAAATTTGATTATATTAGAACAAGAAATGTCATTTTATAGTGTTTTTTGCAAGGGAAAGCGGGGGGGAACAAAACAACCGGATCTTGATCACATCGAATTACCTGAGGCTTCCTCACGAAAATGATGAAAATGTAGCTGCGGCCTAGGCGGCGCAGGGGGGCCGTGCACCAGGGGTCCCAACAATAATTATTCTTTAGAATTAATAATGTTCAACAAAAGACGCCCCATTTCTGAGCGCGAGCGGGCCCAGCGCCTGCCCCTTGCCTTGGGGGGCCCAACCGCATCGGAATGGCACAGCTTTGTCATCAAACGACACACTCCTTGCTCATCTGAGCCTGCGAGAGGATGTGGACACGCAGCCGCACAAACATGTCTCTCTGCCCCATGGCGCCAGCCAGGGGGCGTGATGACACGCGCTCCACATCGACAGCGGCAGCTGATGGGCCGCGAAAACGAAAAACAGATGACCCCTCGCGCCAGCTGCTCCGTTCTCGTCCCATGGGTCGTGGAGAACGCCTCTTGTCTGTTTTTGTTTCTTTTTTCTTCTTTACCCACGATGAAGACGCAGCCGCTAAGGCCCCTTAAACGCGACCTGGGGGTGAAGAGCTCCCCTGACTCTCGGCGGAAGCCGAAAGTCTGATGTAGTGAGTGTCGAGGGCGCGGCGTCTGAATAAATTGCGAGGAGCTCCCACACGATCGCGCGACATGGAAGACAACTGCAGGGCGACTGTGGTGCCTGGCCCAGACATGTGAAGGGGCCCAAGGACACACAAACAAATACACACAAATAAAATCATCCCCAACATCTTTGTTCCAATGTTCTGGGCTTTTGCCTTCCCCCCCACTTCCCATATTTTCCCATATCTTCTGGGGAATCGACGATTCTCGGGTCGGGCGAAAGGGGGGGATAGCAAAAGTGGGGTTTGAGAATCAGCTCACATAGCTGATTTTCCCGGCGCCTCCCGGCGCCGGGAGGCGCCCATGTATCGAGGAATGGGCCCCTCGGCGAGGCCGAAACCAGCTGCACGCAGCAAATTTCGTAACCCCCCCTTTCCCAATCCCCCCCTCTCGCCCGACCCGAGATTCATTGTGCCTGTGTGTTTCCTTCCCCTCCTGAATAAAAAAGACAACCGCCGGGCGGCCGGTGTCTCCAGGCCGCCCCCGCCCTTCTGGATTTTTGCCTTCCCCCCCACTTCCCATATTTTCCCATATCTTCTGGGGAATCGACGATTCATTGTGTCTGTGTGCTTCTTTCCCTCCTGCATGAAAGACACCCGCCGGGCGGCCGGTCTCCCGGCCGCTCCCCCGCCCTCTCGGCGGGCGCCCCCGGCGCCTCCCGCTCGCCCCCGCTCTCTCGGCCCCCACACCGCGCGCGACCCGCCGGCCGGCTCCGCGCCGCACGAGGAGAGACCTAAAACACGACGCGAAGCTCGGGGCAAAATCGGATCGGGAGAACTCGAAATCTCTGAGGATCGGCGGATTGGGAGGACGTATTGGGCGCCGCGGCCGCTCTCAGAGCGTTTCGGAGCGCTCTGAGAGCGCTCTGGAACGCTCTGGAGCGACTTATCCCGATCCTAGCCCTGTTTTAGGAAGCCGGGGGTGGCCTCGTCACCCGCCTGCCTCACCACGGCGAGCACCGCGAGGACCGACGTCCGCGAGCTCCCAGCTGCCATCCCCGCCTCGCCCCTCGCAGTGAGCAGGGCCACGGGCAGCCCGGCCACGAGCTCGCGATGGCGCCATGGGCCCACCCCCTCCCTTCGGTGATCGAGCGCCTTCCAGACGGCCCGGAACGCTCCCAAGAGAGCTCCAGAGTGCCCCAAGAGGTGCCCCAAGAGGCCCCCTGAGGCGCCCAGAGGCGCCCAAGAGGCCCCCAAGAGGCCCCCAAGAGGCCCCCAGGCAGCCCCCCGGAGGCCCCAAAAAGCCTCCACGAGACACCCAAGACGTCCCAAGAGGCTTTGAAAACCGCCAGGAGGCCACCAAGACGTCCGAAGACCCCACAGGCGCCCCAAGAGGCCCCGAAGAGCCACCAGGAGGCCCCCAGGAGGCCCAAGAGGAGGCCTCCAAGAGACGCCGAGAAACATCCCAAGAGACTCCGCGAGGCATCCTAGAAGCCTCTGGCCCGTGGAAGCTCCCCGAGCTCTCCACATGATGCCGCGCTCCCCCGATCAGGGCAGCTCCCCTGGCATCGTTCCTGGATGGGCTGGTGGGGATATTTGTTTTGGTACGCGGGCTCGCGAAACAAGTCGAAAGCCGGGCAAAGCTAGGGCGGGCCGCGCCAAAGCAAAGGAAAAACCAGCGAAGAGAGCGGCGCCCGGCTCAGAAGCTGGGCTCAGCGCAGCCAAAATGGGCTGGTGGGGATACTTTTTCGGTCGCGGCTGCGCGACAACGGTCAGGCGGCGAGAAGCAAAGCTGGTGGGGATACTTTTTGTTGGTCGGCGGCTCCAAGGCAAAGGTCAGGGAGCGGAAGCAGCGTCCGGGTCTGGTGGGGATACGCGGAGCGTTGAGAATTCCATTCAACGAAACAGAATGTCACAAGAGACACGCCGTACGATCCTCAACGAAAGACTTGTACCACCCAGAACCGCGCATGATGAAAACTGCCGACGGCGCAGCACTACAAGCAAACCCCAAGATTCGAGCACACGACGACAACGACGCACATCATACGAGAGGCACCCATTCGCACAGACCAGAAGCGCAGGCAGCTTCAAGATGATTATCAATAGAAAGCTAAGCTGTGCAAACAAGCGCAGAGAAGGTTGGAAAAAAGAAGCACGCTGTGAAGACTCTGCCCCCGACCTCATGCCCGATGCCATCCGCATAGTTACGCTTTGACGTGTGGTTCTGCCAACGCCGAGAGAAGGGGCATCGCCTGCACATGCCCCTGCAGAGTACAAGGCGCCGCGGCTTAAGTCGCCATGCTCGAGGCTGCCCCCTCTTGGGCCACATGGCGTCCCGCAAGTCGCAAACATGCACCATACGAAAGCCTGCACGGGCGCGACGGCCTGTGCCACTCTGAAGGGGGACCTTGCTTGCGCTCGCACACGCCTCACCTGCCCTGAGAGGGTCGGCTGTGGAAAGCACTGCCTGGTCGGCAGAGGAACCCCAGAGCTCTCCTGGGCGGAACCTGGAGTCCCGCTCCGGGCGAAACCCGGAATCCACTCCGGGCGAAACCCGGAATCGCCAGGCCACGCCAGGAATCGGGTCTGGCGAAGCCCAGAACTGCCAGCCCAGAACCGGAATTCCCGGATCGGCGGAAGCGAGAACACCACGGGCAACCGAAGCAAGCATCCTCTAGGCGAACCGACAATTCAGCCGCGCCCAGTGTCTCGACGGAGCCTGGATCTTCAAACCCTCCGTTTCTTCTCCCCCGAGAAATTTGCGAAAAGCATGCTCCCATCCTCTCCTGTAGCCCTCCGTCTCCTCCTCCTCCTCCTCCTTCTCCTCCTCCTCCTTCTCCTCCTCCTCCTCCTCCTCTGCGTCGTTGTCGTCTTCGTTCCCGTCGACGAAGACCACGGCGATGACGGCTCCGGAGAAAAACATCGACAGCAGACCACTGACCTAGAAAACCAACGACCGACAGCCATAAAACCACGACTGCAAAGGACGCCTGAACTCTGAGATCTTCGGGGTTGGTGCCAGATCGCTCAAGAGGAAGAGTCTTCAATTTCAGGGCAGACGGTCCCGATCACGATGAAAACCATGCCCCCTGGCGCGCAGCGGGGTGGCAGTGCCACAGTGGGGCCAGCAAGCCCACGGCGCGGCCCCGCCGCGTCGGACTCCCCCCCCCAAAGACCGGGCGCCACGAGTTCCTTTGCACGGCGCCGGCCCCGGATGTCCAGAGACCTTCCCAGGAGAAAGCTCTCATGCCGAGCAGATCTTCGACGGCCCCGGAGAACCCCCTCGAGAGGCCCCCGGGGAGCCGAAAACAGCGTGGAGCGCCTCCGGGAAGGATTCACACACCCCGAATCTTCGGGCCCTTCCTCCAAATCCTCTGCTGTAGCCCTCTGCCTCATCCCCCTCCTCGTCGTCTTCGATCTCTTCATCCACGACAACGGCGACAACGACTCAGGAAGGAACATCGACAACAGACAACCGACGCTCGAAAACGAACGCTCGCCGACCACGACCTCGCAGGCCGCCCTAATTTAGAGATCTGCGCGGTCGGCATCAGATCAACAAAAAAAAGGATTCTCAAATTTAGGGCAGACACGCCCGACCACGATCAAGATCACGCCGTGCCCTCTGGCGCGCCGTCGGAAGACAACGACGACGACGACGACGACGACGACGACGACGACGACGACCACGACGACCACGACGACCACGACGACCACGACGACGACGACGACGACGACGACGACGACGACGACGACGACAACGACGACAACGACATTTCGAACAATGATGAGGCAGTCGGAGTCTCGTTCTGCTCTAGGTTCTAGCGCATGTTGGAACAAGGCTCCTGCGCTCTGAAACGCACGCGATCCGCAGTCGGCTCGGCTCGGAGGGCCCCGCCGCAAGGACCAGGCGCAACCCCGAGGAGGGCGTCGTGTCTGCATCGGAGCGCGCGTCGCCTTCTGGCACGAGCCGGACATCCAATGTCGATATTCCCCCATGCTTCGTGGGGCTCCGGCGTTCTTCCCTGCCGCGTCGCTCCCGCGTCTCCCGCAACACACACACACACACACACACCTCCTTCCCTCCTCCCTCCTCCTGTCTCCTCCTGGGGCCTCCTGCTGCCACCTGGGAACTCCTGGGGCCTCCTGGAGCCCTCTTCGGCCTCCAGGGACCTCCTTGGGGCCTCTGGTGTGCTCCTGGGACCTCTCCTGGGGCCTCCCGTGGGGCCCCTGGAGAACTCCCGGAGCCTCCCAGGGCTTCGTGGCTGAGGAGCCCAATTACCTCTCCTGGAGGACCCAAGGAGGAGGAGGAGGAGGAGGAGGAGGAGGAGGAGGAGGAGGAGGAGGAGGAGGAGGAGGAGCTCCCTCCTCCGCCTTCCCCCGCCTCCTAGGGCATCCTGGTGTCTCCTGGTGCTTCCTGGAGCTTCGTGGAGTCTCCTGGGAGCTCCTGTGACATTCGGAGAATTCCGACGGTTCCCGCCCGAGATTTCCTCCAGATGCAACCCTCGGGTGTCAAAAAGTGGCATAAGTTACGATATTTGGATGACCCCGCTCGGATTCCAACATGGAGGCGGGGACCCTATAGGGAAGGCAGATTCAAACCGGAGGAGCCCAATTACCAAGATAAAGTGCGGGCCCCATAGGGAGGGGGCGCCCGCTTAAGACACATTCACGTTGTGCCCACTTGGGGGGCTCAAACGATATGCCTGGCGGAGTTTGCCGATGACCCGATCGGAATATCAACATGAAGTGCGGGCCCCATAGGGGGTCGGGCTCCCGCCTGAGACTTCCTCGCAAAGCCATCACAGACGAGGCCCCCACTCGAGGCATCCTCACAACTTGCCCCCTTGGGGTGCTGAAGAGCTACGCCCGGCAAGATTTACCGATGACCCGCGCGAGTTCCCGACATGAGGCACGGGCCCCACAGGGCGGAGGCGCCCGCCTGAGACTTCCTCGCTGTTCGTACAGGCAGGGTCCCCGCTTGAGACGTCCTCGCGACTTGCCCCCTTGGGGTGCACAGGTGCTACGCTTGGTAAAGTGTGCTGAAGACCTGGTCGAAACACCTCCATGGAGTACGGGCCCCACAGGGCGGGGGCTCCCGCCTGAGACTTCCCTGCTGTTCACACCGACGAGACCCCCGCTCAAGTCATCCTCACAGCTTGCCCCTTTCGGATGCTCAAGTGATATGCCTGGTAGTCTTCGCCGATGACCCGCTCGGATTGCCAACAGGAAGTGCGGGCCCCATTGGGAGGAGGCTCCCGCCTGAACTTCCTCGCAATTCACTCACAGACGAGGCCCCCGCTTGAGACATCCTCGCGATTTGCCACCGGGGAGTGCTCAAATGATATGCCTGGCGGAGTTTACCGATGACCCGCTCGGGTTACCAACATGGGACCCCATAGAGAGGGGGGTCCCGCCTAAGACTTCTTCTCTATTCACTCACAAACGAGGGCTCCGCCTGGGACATCCTCACGATTTGCCCTCTTTGGGGTGCTCAAATGCTGTGCCAGGTTGACTTTGCCGATGACCCGCTCGGATTACCAACATGAAGTGCGGGCCCCATCGGGCGAGAGCTTCCGCTTGGGGATTCCTTGCAATCATTCACAGACGAGGCCCCCGCTTGAAACATCCTCACGATTTGCTCACTTGAAGTGCTCAAACGCTATACCTGGTAAAGTTTGCTGGCGACCCGCTCGGATTATCAACATGAAGTGCGGGCCCCATAGGGAGGGGGCTCCCGCGCGGAAGACTCCCCCCAGGGCGAGTATGTGAGCGTGACATGTATGGACATGATGGGTCATGGCGATGGTGATGGTGATGGTGATGTTGATGGTGATGGTGAGGGTAAGGACGATGATGATAATGATGATAATGATGATGATGATGATGATGATGATGATGATGATGATGATGATGATGATGGTGATGATGGTGATGATGATGATGATGATGATGACGATGATACTCTACTACATCTGGGCTCTGTGTCGCTGGCTGAGCAGGACGGCAATCGACGCCATAAAAAAGTTGCTCGCAAGACAAGCCACCAATAGCTATCATGATCCCGTGGCTGGCAAGGGGTGCGAAATCTCGCGAACGCGGCGTGCTCTCTTGGGGCTCAAGCGGGCAAAGCGAGGAAGCCAGGGCCTGGTGGAAACTATGTACCGAGGAATTCTCCTGCCTCGGCTTCGGCTTCACAACGGCTGAACGGATCGGGGGCCGGAGGAGGCCTCTCCTGGGCCTGATCCTGCACAAGCTCGCTGCTGCTGTCGGCTCCGGCACGCGACGCCGGGGATTTGTGATGGGGTGGCCTGGCTGGCAGTGGAAAAAAAGAGGTGGGCTGGAGCGCACAAATTCGATGGGCCTGCCGAGAGTTCCTGCCTCGAGAGAGCATCGACCCAGCACGACAGCTCCCCTCGAACCAGCCTGGCGGCGCCGTCCCCGAGTAGATCACCGCCTTGTTCGCGCTCCTGCTCGCCACCAGGACGGCGGCCCGGATAGACCAGCCGCGCATCGCGATGATGAGCTTCGTGTCCTCGGCCCGCGGCCTTGTAGCATTTCTCGAAGCGGAGGACGGGAACGTCCGCCTCCAAGTCCTCGCGGCTCAGCAGAGCCGCCTCGTCCTCTCCGCCATGCACCTCGGCCAGCCATGTCTAAAGCGCCGCCTTCGACTTGCCGCCGATGTTGCACTGCAGAAGAGCCTCGATGAAGTTCACGAGCAGGCTGGCGGTCGGGGCCCCGAGCTGCCGCAGCGCCTCCTTGGCGCCGTCCTCCTTCTGGCGCAGCTTCTCCGCCTCGCCGCGGAAACAATTCACCTCGTCTCCGACCGCCACTATCACAGGGTGGGCCGTCGGGAATTCGAACATGTCGATGGTCGCTCCCGCGTGCAGCCGCGTCCGATGTGTTGTCTGGAGTACCGGCTTCGGGAGGACGAAGAGGAACTCCGCCAGGGTCTTGTCCTTCGAGGTCCACTTCGGCGGCGCCTGCCGCCGCGGCGTGATGATGATGATGATGGGGAAGAAGAAGATGGTGGTGGTGATGATGCTGCTAATGATGATGATGATGATGATGATGATGATGATGATGATGATTATTATTATGATTATGATTATGATGATGATGATGATGATGATGATGATGATGATGATGATGATGATGATGATGATGAGTTGTGATGGTAAGTGAGTGTGTCAGTGTAAGCGAAAGCAAGAGAGTGCGAACATGTGCGTGGGATGGTGCTGACGATGTGGTTAAAGCTGACGAGTGTGATAATTGTCATGGTGATGGTGATGAGAAGGAAGAGAGGGACATGGTTGAGGAAGTCGCGGGGTGTCCAGAGAAACAAGAAGCCCATTTGGGATGTGGGGGAAAGTTGGTCCAAAATGAAGAACGTCCTAGGGCCTAAGGAAGGTGTCGCGTCGATGTCGGGACCTTCGTGAAATGCTGTCAGGAAGAAATCGCGGTCCCGACCGACAAGGATTAGCGGGAGCCTCCTTCACAGCCTCCGCGGCGAAATGTACACACCTCAGACGCAAATTCTTTCCGCCGTCACAATGCGGGACCCGTGGAGCCTCCCTGGGGCTGATGTTTCATCCTGGGGTTACTGTCCAAGGAGTCGAAAGGGGCCTCCAGAGGAGGCTGGAACCGAGGGGGAGAAACGTAGGCACCGGATAAATCAAGACGTCGAAGGCTTGGGAGCTAGATGCGTAGCGGCATTTCCGTACCATGCACGAACGACGCCTCGCAACCCAAGGCATTGTCAGAACGCGGGCGTGCACAAGAAGAAAAAGAAGACGAAGAATCGCAAACTCCTCGATTCAGATGAAGTCCGTTTCGCTACTTCCATCAAGCACGCAGCGCGAGCTATGCGCCCTCCGATGTGCCTTTTGACACGTTGTGGCGATGCGATTAACATATACGAGTTCTAGCGGGGAGCAACGAGCTGTGCCGCAAGACGGTTCTGAAAAGGCGAAGTGCACTGATTTTTGCTTGCGAAGCGGCCGATTCACACTTGTTTTCAGTTCTCTCGCGCCTCTGCGTCACTCTCGACTAAATCACCTCGACAGCCCGAACAACAAAAAAGACATCAACTGGCGACCCGGATCCACCATGAGGCTCCACCACAAGGCGGAAGGCGCCAAATAATGTATTGATGTAAAGCGGCGAGAAACAAAACAAGGTACACATGAAAAAGCAAACGATCTGAAGGACAAGCAAAAATCTGAACTCCCTTAAAAATTCAAGAGCAAGGATGGACTTCCAAGGGTCCAACGAATATTGGAGGTTGAGCAGCGCACATACCCAGGATGTAATTGGACCTGGGCTTACGTGAATGCGTCTTGATCTATCATATATTGGCAGGCATCGCCTGGCATAGCGTGGCCGCGATCG